GTTACTGCATCCATAGGTGTAGGTCAAGTTCATCAAATAGACAGTTTTTTTAAACAGCAGTTTTATTCAAAGTTTGGGTTGTTTTTTGGATGACAGAATATTTTGCATTAAAATAGACATGTCAAGGAGTAAAATGTAATGATCAGACCTTTAAAGATAAAATGAGACCAAAAAATTCTACTTATTCCTCTGACCCACAGCCAAGGAACTACACCCAAGATTTCACATTTCTTTGACTTTAGTGGTACTTTGGTAGAAATTGTTAAGAAGCAATAAATAAAAAAAACTTAAGTAGTAACATAATTTGTGGCTTTGCAACACAATGAAGAAATCTAGTGCAAAAAAAGTGAGAGAATTACTGTGTAATAATTTCTTCTCAAGATTGAGGATTATTTGACCACAGCATTCCAGGTTCTGAGGAGTGAATTACGGAGCTGCCAAAATTGATAGAAGACATAGCCTTCTTTGAATTGCAATGACAACCAAAGTGAAGTCATCTGACAAAGACCCAAACCAGAATCAATTAAAACAGTTAGGTATTGACAATTCAACAGCAAACAAAAGATCTTGGCAGCGAAAGGGTCTAAAAGTATGAAAGGGATTGCAATACATTTCCAATGAAGATTTTACATCCAAGTATAAATGGAACTCCTTTTCAAATTGACCTATCTGAGCATTTACAAAACTAACTGAATCCTTTGGCAGCACAAATGGTCACACGCAGGGCTACTCACTAAGAGGTTGTCAGTTCAAACCCACCCAGTGGCATCTCAGAAGGCCTGATCAGTCTACTTCCTCCAAAATACGTCATTGAAACCCCTATAGAGCAGTTCTAATCCCCACACAGTGTCACCTTAAGTGAGAATCTACTCAAGGACAATAATTATATGAGGTAAGAGTAACTTTATTGAATGTCTGTGATAAAGTTGTCATTTTTATAACGTCCTTAAATCACTATGAAAACCTCAAACGTACAAGGCAGTATATTTTAACCTTTGATTTTGACCTAACTGGAAAGAGGTGGTGAAAATGAGATTAAATTTCCATTTTGAAGACTCCAAGAGTGATTGTGGCCCTCTCCTTTCTTCTTTAACTCTTAGGTGACTGTGGGACCAACATTTTCAGCGACCCAGGTTTCTTGGGAAGCTCCTGTCTCAATTGCAGAGCTTTCGGACACCCGGTGGGAACCTGTATAACTCTCTGAATCTGAACAAGCTACAGCCCCCAAAGCCTACCACTAGAGTCCATCTGGGACCTATGTGTCCCATACAATTATATCAAAATTCCTATTACTGCCAAACAAGTATGTTTTCCTCCTTTGATTTCAGCATGTGTTCCATAATGGAAAACGTATGGTGGCAACATAAAATTCGAATCAGCAAAGAATTCGGTCATAGAAGGGTTAAATCGGTCTGGTTTTCTACTTCTCACGATCCACATCCTCCTGCACCCCAGGATCTGCCGCACCCCTACTGTCCGAAGTGAGATCTGAGAATGAGAACCACGCTGGAAGAAAGGGTGGGCAGGCCGCGCTGATGTGGCGGTCGCCAGCAGGGCCGCAGAAAGAGGATTTCCGAGAGCCCGAACTTGAGTCTCGCACACCCGGCCCCGACGCAGCCCTGTTTGGGTAGCTGCGAAACCTGAATCGTAAGCCTCTTTGTCTTGCTACTAAAGAAGGTAAGAGCGAGAGAAGCTCGTTCTACTGCTTCCTGCACGAGAAAGAAAATTATCTTCTACGTGTTTAACAGCCTACAACAGAGAAGCCACCACATTGAGTTGCCTAGGCAACGTCCTAGACGTCCGGGAAATGAGGGGCTTCCGCAGGGCATATCCCGCCCCGTTCCTGTCAAGCAAACCCAGTTTATAGTTTCCTAGAAAATGCCTGCCTATCCTTTTTTTTTTTTTTTTTCTTTTCAAATTGAGAACCTTATCCTCATTTGACTTTGTTTCTTCTTTTTCTCTTGGAAAATATGCGTCATCACCGAGCGCTGAAACTTTCCACGGATGCAGGCGCCTAAAAGGCAGCCACACGTCGTGACGTATAATTTGAGCGCCGACGCAGAAAAGACCATGCTCCTCACGGGGACTTCTGCCTAGTTTTGCGTGGAGTTCGCATTTTTCTACGACGCTGGACCCGGCTTCTTGAAGAGACACGTGCGCTGGTGAATGGAGCTCGTCGCTGGCTGCTACGAGCAAGTCCTTTTTGGGTTTGCTGTGCATCGGGAGCCCGAAACGAGTGGAAACGAGGTGAGCCGATGCGTGGAGGGGCCAGGGAAGGCGGGGTAAACATTTGGACACCTGATGTTCATCGTCAATGCTTATGAATTAATTGGTAAACTAAACTCAGGAGTCTTATAAAGTTCTCCTTTTGAAACATGAAATGGACATATCATAAAAGTGATAAAAAATTTGTTTACTGATGGCGCTGTAGGATAAACATGGACTGCTAACGACAAGTCGGCAGTTCAAACACACTAGGTGTTGCGCGGGAGAAAGTTGAGATTTCTGTTCCTTGGAAACCCTGTAGAGAGTCGCCGTGAGTCTGAACTGACTTGCTGGCAGTGGGTTTATTTTTATTTCATTGTAGTAAATGCTCACGGTACAGCGAAGAAATGTGCATTTCTGGGCAAATGAGTTGTAGATTATGGGTTTAAGGGTTACATCCCCGTAAGTTGACAGTCTGTTTTGATATACAGAATTCAATGAAAAAGTAATGGTCTCATTCAGTTGAGTTTTTGTTGTGGAATTTTTCAAAGTGTTAGATTTGGGTCAGGATAAACGCATAAATATAAAAAGTGACTAATTGATTTCATGCTCACTGAGCACTTACTATGGAGCTAGGCAGTGAAGGTACAAAGATGAGAAAGATGAATCCTGAAGATACCCGTACAGATCCGTGAAAGACGGTAGGGAGAGGCAAAGATAACGGTTTTACTAAATGTATGAATAAAAAATGTTCGTTGATTTGTCAGTAGTCATACATATAGGAGCCCTGGTAATTTAGTAGATTACATGTTGGCTACTAACTATACGGTCAGCAGTTCGAATACACCAGCCGTTCTGTGGGAGAAAGATAAGGCTGTCTGCTACCATAAAGATTTGCTGCCTGGGAAACTCTATACAGGGTTGCTGTGAGTCAGAACCCAATCAGTGGCAGCACAGGTAGGAGATGACAGATCTACAGATTTCTAGCCCAGTACTGGTGTGGCACTGTGGGCAGGTGTGCTAGACTGCAGAGTTGTTTGAACTGCAAGGTTGGCGGTTCAAGCTCACCAGCTGCTCCTTGGAAAACCCTATGGTGGTGGTTACGTGCCATGGAGTCGGTACCGACTCATAGCGACCCTGTATAGGGTTTCCAAAGCTTTAAATCTTTACGGGAGCAGAAAGCCTCGTCTTTCTCCCGCGGAACAGCTGGTAGTTTTGAACTGCTGACCCTAAGGTTCGCAGCCGATTCATAACCACTACACTACCAGAGCTCCTTTGGAAACCCTATACACGGTCAGAATTGACTCGACGGCACTTAACAACAAGAACTAATTTTTAGCCTTAAGTAATTCTAGGAATCATCCAATCATTTGTTGGTGTTAAAGTGCCGTCGAGTTGGTTCCGACCCATAATGACCCTGTGTAGGATTTCTGAGGAGCAGCTGGTGAGCTTGAACCGCCGACCTTGCAGTTCAAACAGATTTGCAGTCTGGCACATTAACCCACAGCCAGGACTCCTATCCAGTCATTTGTTAAATGCCTCGAGTAGATTCCTATCCATAGCTACCCTGCATAGGGTTTCCATTAAGTACTTCTTTATGTAGGAATCAGAGTGTCAGTCTTTATCCAGAAATTTACAAGTATATGACTCCACTATTTGTTTTTTATTTTGTTTTCTAGTCTATTATGGAGTCTTGGTGTGGCGCTGTGGGTTAATGCGCTAGACTGCAAAGTCAGTTTGATCCTCAAGGTTGGTAGTTCAAGCTCACCAGCGGCTCCTCAGAAACCCTATACAAGATCGCTATGGGTTGGAACCAATTCAAGAGTGCTTAACAATAACAGTCTAGTATAACTGTTTTTGGCCTTCAGCCAAAATGTGACATGCTTGAATACTCAAAAGATGCTGCTATTGATTGTAATAAAACTGCTTACTATGTTCAATCCTCACCGCAGCCCTCTGAGGCAGATACTGTTACTCCTGTTTACAGACCACAAGGAACCTGAAGTGTAGATAAGATCTGCTCAAGGCCAACAGCTAAAAAGTGGCAGAACTAAACTGGAAATTGCCAGGTGTTTCTGATTTGAAACTCTTAACCATTATCCAACATTGTCGTTATTGTTTGTCTGATCAGTTTTGACTCATACCAAGCCTCTTGTTGTTTTCACAGACACAAACTACCACATCTTTCTCACACAGAGCAGCTGGTGGATTCCAATTCCTAACCTTTCAGTTAACATCCAAGTGCTAAGCTACTGTGCCACCTTCATTATCCAATACTGCTTCTAAATTAGACAAGTACTTCTATAATGAAGTTTGCTTTCATAAAGTGTACCAAATCCACTGCCATCAATCAAGTTGATGCTGACGTAAAATGACCCTATAGAACAGAGTAGAAGTCCTTTGAGTGTGAGAGACAGTAAGTCTTGGCAGTAACAGACAGTCTCATACTTCTCTTTAGGAGCAGCTGGTGGGATTGAACTTGCCAGTCTCACAGTTAGCAGTCCAGTAGTTACTCTACAAAGCCACCAGGGCTTGTTCAATATTTGCATTAATAAATTCACCCTAAAATGTGACTATTTGAATGAGTGTGTGATATGGAAGTCTTACACGTGAGTAAGTCCATGACTGTGTCCTGGAGTCCTATACCCACTATTGCCATCTCACCTTCTGCCAGACTCTTAATTCCATTTTCAGATGAGTGTTATTTTCAATGTCTATGTTATGATGGTGTTTCTTCTCCATGGGTAGGTAGTATTCTTAGCTCTGTTTCTAGAGCACCGCAGTGTGACTGTGGCATTAATGGTAGACTTTACTCTGCAGCATAAATGGACCCCTGTGGCTGACTTCACTCACCATGCCCACACTGCCTCCTTGTCTGCGGTGGCTGCAAATAGTCGTTTTGTCGTCACCGGGAGCAAAGATGAAACAATTCACATTTACGATATGAAAAAGAAGATTGAGCATGGGGCCCTAGTGCATCATAATGGTAAGGTTGTTTTCCTGCTTAGGACACTCTGGAGGTGGTGTAGTTTATAATTTGCTTTCGCTTAAAGAATTCATTAACATGTACTGGTGGTGATGGTAGTGTGCCGGGGAGTCGGTTCCAAGTCATAGCGACCCAATACAAGGTTTAAAACATGTACTAGGGAATGTAAAAATGAAAACCCATGGTTCCTTTCTCTCAAGTTGCTCACGGTCTGCGTTGGGAGATAGATGAAAGAGGGTGCTTAACTTGGGAGGGCGTAGTTTGACGTGGGTAATCACTGAAATGTTCTTTAAAATGACCTCTGAATTGAATCTTAAAGGCAATTATCAATTGTTGGCCCAATGGAGTTTGTAAGGCCATTACAGGTGCTTGGCAGTGTGGGGGGAACAATTAGCAGCTTAGCAGCAATGGCTAACTTTATCAGGCACCCAAGGAGCCCTGGTGGCACATTGGTTAAGCAGTTGACTACGAACCGTGGAAGGTCAGAGGTTCAAATCCACTAACCACTCTGGAGGAGAAAGCTGTGGCTGCCTGGTCCCGTAAAGATGACAGCTAGTCCAGTTAACTGGGATGCCCCTATGAAACCATGACCCTAAATCTCCAAACTGAGGAAGCACTTCTCATGCTGCGTTTGGGTTCACTGAAGCAGCCTCAGCAGTTGGCTACTCTTTTCAATCATTGTAAATATATTACACAACTTTTGCCAATTCAGCTTTTCACAGGTGTATAGCTTACCGACAACAATTACAATAATTGGTTGTGCAATCTTACTCTTAGTCAATATTGATGTAGTTTTCTTACCCCTCTTCCCTCCCAACCCCAGTAACCACTGAAAAACTTTGGTCTCTGCAAGTGAAGTCATACAAAATTTGTCCTTTTGTAGAGGTTCATTTCACTCAGCATATTATCATCCACCTCCATCCATACTGTAGCATGTATCAAGACTTTTTCTCTCCTCTGGCTAAGGAGTATTACGTTGTTGTGTGGACCACATTTTGTTTATCCATTCTTCTGTTGGTGGGCATTTAGGCTATTTCCACCTGTTGGTCATTGTGATTATGCTGCAATGAATATTAGTATACAACTCTCTTTTTGAGTATTTCTTTCAAGTCTTTTGGGTATAGACCTAGGAGTGGAATTGCTGGTTCCTATGGTGATTCTATTTATAGTTTTTTGAGGAACCTCACACTGTTGGCCACAGTGTTTGTATAATTTTTCATTCTACTTTCCACACATCTTCAACATTTGTTATTGTACATCTTCCCCATTCCTGGGGGGGGGTACAGTGGTTTCTCGTTGTGGTTTTTATTGGTGTCTCACTGGTGGCTAGCAGCTTTTCTTTGGTGACATGTCTATTAATATCCACCCATTTTATGATTGGGTGATTTCTCTTTGTGGTGGTGTTAATTATTATTAGAGGTAATATGGTTTCCAAAAGTATTCTCCCAGTTGCTGGTGGTGGTTGTTATGTGCCGTGGAGTCTGTTTCAACTCATAGCGACCCTGTACAGCGTTTCTGAGACTAAATGTTTACGGGAGCAGAAAGCCTCATCTTTTCTCCCGTGGAATTGCTGGTAGTTTCGTAGCTTATCTTTTTACTCTTTTGGTGAAGTTTTTTTTTTTTTTTTCTTCTTTAAGGTTTTTATTGTGGATTGAGTGAAAGTTTACAGAGCAGATCATCAGTTTTACATTCAACAAATCATAGACCTTGTTTCATTACAATGATTATAATCCCCTCCATGTACCATCAGTTAACAGTATTTCTCTCTATTCACTTTAGCTTTTTTTTTAAAAACAAAATACAAAACCACTCAGGCATATATAATAATTTACACCTCCACAGGGCACATTCTACAAGTCTGTCTCCTGGCCACCAGCTCTTACTCCCTGTCTTCCATGAATCTAGAGTCCTTAGCTGCTACCCCCTCCATGACCACATCTCTGCCTCTGTCTCTGGCGTCACTGCTTCTCTGGATAAGGTCCTGCATTCTGCTTGTGCTTTTTGCCCTTGATGGTCCTAGGGTCCTCTGTTTCTGGCCTGTAAGATTAACCACTCCCCTGTTTTTGTTACAAAACTTCTGCCTTTACAGTTGTGACAGTCGCAGTTAGTCTTGATAAGTTATTCACTATTGAATCATACGAATCTTATCCCCATCTCTTTTCACCAGACCCATCTAGACAAGATGAAAACTATGCAGTGGGGATTCTTTGTTTCCCCCCATATTTAAACTAAACTCCCTCCTGAAGCCTTATAAGCCAGTCACTTCGTGCCTTTATCGCTCCCTTAATTTTAGGTAGCCAGTGTCTAAGTGGCCCATCCCTATCTATCTTGTACACATGATATGAAGACTCCTTCCCTCTCTGTTGGTAGAGTTACTAACTCCATGAGTGTAGGTCCAGTTCATCAAATTGTAGCAATTTACACTTATTTCCTTTATCAAAAAAAAATTTTTTTTTTTTTTTTGTAATCTTTCTCTAGTCAAGTTCTGATTATCAAGCCACCGAGGCTAGGTCAGATGGGTACTGTCTGCAAGTTTGGGTGTTCTTGTGCATCTCCCCTCACTTCATATCAGCTGGATGCTTCACCTTCAGCTCTAGCCCTCTGTGGCTATATCCTTGCGCATGGTCTCAAGTATCCCCAGGTCTCACCACACTTTGCACCAACCAGCCCTTCCTCTTCTCGCTCTAATCTCCAGGTAAACGGGAGTCTATGGACTGTGGTTGAACTCAGCCCATTTCTTCATTGCTGCCTTTCCCGCTCTTCTACTCACCAGTAGACCAATGTCTTCAGCAAGCTTACATGACTGTTTGTGTTTACCGTTTGAGGTTCAGTCTTAGAGGGGGGTTTGTCCTGAAGGGACTTGATTGCTTGCCTTGATGGCTTCCAGGCGAACAGATTGCTTATTCTTGTAGTAGCCAGCCATGCTGACTTTTTTGCTTTGGGTTTTTCCTGATGATCTTTCTTTCAAGATGTATCCTCTGTCATTCTGGCTATTCCGGGTTGGTTTGCTTGTCCTTTCTAGTGGGAATGTCCCACTTCATAAGGTTCTGGATGGAACTGAGGATTCCACCTGAGGTCCTCTACTCTACAAAGGCTTCACAAGAGGCCTATTTTACTGGGCAAGTTCTAGAATCTCTTTTATGTATTCCAGGCATTTATAGGCTGAAGACGGGCTTACAAATTTTCTCTAATTATGTTTCCCAACATTCCTTTCTATCCCACTCAAGTGTCTGTTTTACAATAGTAGGCAAGGGAAACCAATATTTATAGGACAGTCAAGCATTTTAGTATTATTTCCCCTCTTCAAACTATACCTAGATCCCTGTATCACAGAGCCCTGTTGTTCCAAGGTTGAGCATGCAACACTATCTACCTCTGTCCCACGTAGCCCATGCAAACCTATCTCAGTGTTCCCCTATCTGTCTTGTTCTTCTGCCTCCTCCCCTTTCTTGTATTGCCCTCCCCAACACCTGAACTAA